TTCCCCCCCCCCCCCCCCCGCCCCATTATATAAACAAAATGACTGAATCATTTTGGTGTCACCCCTCCAATGGTGTCAGCCGGGTGCGGGCCGCACCCTCCTTGTGACGCCACTGCCTGTTGATTGGCTTCTAGACCTGAGCACTGTCACATGGGAGGAAGTCACATGCTTCTACCATGCTGGGAAGCCCCAGGTATTTTCACCAGCTGAGTCAGTGGAGGGAGCGGCGGGAGATCACTGGAGAGGTGTTGTTGGGATCGATGTTCGTTAAAAGTCCTTCCAAGCCTTTCTGACACTCCAGCCACATAGGGGATGACCAGATCACTCCATGTGTTCATCTTCTCCTCTCTGTTGACTGGTCCGGGGTTTTTGCTTGACCTACTGGATGTTCTAACAAAAGCCAAATAGGCTGATAAGAGGTGTGTTGGTGGAATGCTGGACCCAACACATGAAGGATCAGGTTTTTAGGTCTGAGTTCTCAATCAGCCGGGGTATCTATGGGAAGTGTTGAGACTCTGAAACGCGTTGGATTTTTGACGGGCCTTACACCGCATCTGTGGCGCTTTCACTCTCACAAAGACCCCAGTCACTGAAACCTAATGACTAAAGACTCGCTTCTGAACAAGCAATAATGTGTATTTCTTTTATTTCCATCAGACCGAATCAGAATATCCGCCTAGAGAAGCAAGAACGTTTCCCGCAAGGACTTTACAGCAATTCTACGGTGTTTACAGGAACTTTTTACAAGGGAAATATAGGACTGTCATCATTTCCATTTGCAGCCGAGCTCAGAACAGATGATGCACCACGTGGACAGACAGCCGCCCCCCACTCCCACCATTACTCCACTCCGCTCCGCCAGGACAAGGACTCTACGGACATGACTTGTGGTTTTTTTTTTTAGTGTATGATTATTCACAGCAGAAAACAAGGTGAAAAAAAAAGGTATGAAGATAGTTTATATTTGATATTAAGTTAAGAACGTAAATATTTCTATATATTTAACTTTTCTGGGTCAAATAAATATATTTTTCTCGTGCTTCGGTGGTGGTATTTCAGAAACAAAATGCAAACGGTAAATACTTGGAGACGGTAGCGTTCTTTTTTAGCAACGAGAACAACAGGGTCATTACCAAAAGGGTGAAGAGTTTGGAGAAGGCCGGAGAAGTGAACCATCTAGACCAGGGGTGCCCACAATTTCTGTGATAAGATCTACTTTTCAAATGGCGAGCTACATGAGATCTACCAACGGAAAAAAAACCTTCCTCGCTCTTACTCTCCTTGCTCTCTCTCTCCTCTCTCTCTTGGCTGTCATTCCTCGTTTTCTCTCCTGGCTGTCTCTCCCCGCTCTCTCTCCTCTGGCTGTCTTTTCTCTCTCTCCTGGCTGTCTCTCTTCTCTCTCCCCTGGCTGTCTTTTCTCTCTCTCCTGGCTGTCTCTCCTTGTTCATCCTCCTGGCTGTCTCTCCTTGCTCTCTCTCTCCTGGCTGTCTCTCCTCTCTCCCCTGGCTGTCTCTCCTGGCTGTCATTCCTCATTTTCTCTCCTGTCTCTCTTCGCTGTCTTGGCTGTCTCTCCTTGCTCTCTCTCTCTTGGCTGTCTCTCCTTGCTCTCTCTCTCCTGGCTGTCTCTCCCGCTCTCTCTCCTGGCTGTCTCTCCCGCTCTCTCTCCTGGCTGTCTCTCCCCGCTCTCTCTCCTGGCTGTCTCTCCTCTCTCCCCTGGCTGTCTCTCCCCGCTCTCTCTCCTGGCTGTCTCCTCTCTCCCCTGGCTGTCTCTCTTGCTGTGTAAAGTAATATTCTTTGATGTAATACGTAGCACTTCAACCCCCAGTATCCCCCAGAGAGGTGTCGGGGAGCTCGGCTCAGCAGACTCAGGCTGATAGGGAATCATGTGTGCACAGCTATTATACCAACATGGAATAAAGGGGCCGCCATTCCCCCCCTTCCTGATCTACCAGCATCAGCTGTGAGAGCTCCTGCTAGATCACCATCTACATAATGGGCCCCCCTGCTCTAGGACAACATAGCTGAACCGGAACAATTCTCCAATTCAGCTCACTTTCCAGCTCAGCTCTGTTGTCCTAGATCGTTCACTTCTCCGGCCTTCTCCAAACCCTTCACCCTTCTGTGAATAACCCTGCAAGTAAAAATCGTAAAGTTCTTGTAATTGTCTTTAACTTAAAGTGACATTAAACCCTCAGATTGTTTTTAACATAAACCAATACTGTAATGTGTGCCTTACTGTAATCCATGGTAGTTTCCCTTCTCTTTGCTGCTCTTCCTTTTAAATCCTCATGTCTTCTCATGCTGGGGGAGAACTTCCCTTTGCTGCTGAGTGCCTCTTCCTGTAGTGCTGGCTCAGGTTGTGAACCTGCACACAGACACCGTGTATCCATTCCAGAGACAAGGCAGTCTGCTGCAAAACAGAAGTTCTCCCCCCAGCATGAGAAGAGATACGGATTTAAAAGGAAGAGCAGCAAAGAGAAGGGAAACTACCATGGATTACAGTAAGGCGCACATTACAGTATTGGTTTATGTTAAAAAAACCAATAATGGTTTAATGTCACTTTAAATATTATACTTAGGGCTTTATTTATCATGGGATCACCCAGCATATACATTGAGTAACAGGCACAGGAGGAGGTGTCAATGGGTGATGTCACCACACTTGTATTCTATGAAGAACTACAAGTCTCTCTGCCGAAGTGGTTGGTGGGACTTGTACTTTCGCTGTTCGCACATCCTGGTAAAGGATCTGTGAATGGAAGATGGACGGAGCCCCAAACAGCCACGCCAAATTCAAATTTGTACAACAAGCCTGCGGGGAGAAGAACCCCACGATTCAGGAAAGTGGGGGGTTAGCATTGGGGTTTGCTCAGGGTCGGATTTACTCTCTCTGCTGCCCCAAGGCCAGGTTCCTCAATGCGCCCCCCCTACCTGCCAAACCCCCCCCCATGGAGAATGGCAGAC